AGCTCCGAGGATCAATCCTCCCCTTCACCTGTCCCAGTTGCTGCCGCAGGTGAGCTCCTGCTGATGGTAGGAGAGTATCATGTCTCAAGGCTGCTGGTTTGCAGAAGAATTAAGAGCCAGAGGACTAGAGGTCTCCAGGGGGCTGAAGAATGGGGAGAGTTGAGTCAGGTAGAAACAGAGGAATGAGAAGTTGTAGCTAGAAAAAGGGGTTTTCCAGTTGAGAATTTCAGAGGTAGGGCAGTTCCTGGGAGTTGAGAAGGTCAGGGTGGGGCCATATGAGTGGGTTCTAAGAAGGGGTGAAATAGAGGACAGTTTGATTAGTGAGGATGAAAATGCTCATCAGCGTGGATATTTCTATGGCCCCAGATGACTGCAAGGGTGGAAGTCATGAGGAAGGCTGTGTGCTGGCTGCCAAGTTTACATTTGCTGTGGTTTGTAGGTCTGTAAATAACGAGGTATGTGTTAGAATAGAAACACCCCAAAGTACTATTATTGAATGGGATAGAAGTCGATTTCTCTCTGGTTTAAGCTGTCATGGAGGCTTTGCTTCATGAGGCCATTCAATGACCTGGTTCCTTCTACATTGTTGCTCTGCCATTTTCTAGAATGTTTCATTCATCTACATGTTGAGGCTGGTCACTATCACATCCACTCACATTCCACTGGAAAACTCTTAGTCACATGGACACCTTTAACTGGAAGGGAAGCTGGAGATTTTTATTCTGGGGGCAGTGATGAACCCAGCTAAAATTCTATCTTTGTGAACAAAGAGGATAACCAAATTTGTGGGACCATCTAGCATTGTGGCCCAGATAGCTTCAAAGATGAGAAGTCATTCATTCAACATTCTTCTGTGTTAGGTACTGGGGTTACAGAGGTGAAGGAAACAGGCATGATGTCTTTTCCTGGAGCTCAGACCTAGTGTGAAGGTTTAACTGAAGGGTGCGGAGGAAGAAAGGCTATAGATTGAATGCATGAGAGCAGGGAGATGGAGATTTTTCACAGGGAAAGGCTGTGATGGGCATGGTGGTGCCGAGGAAGGCTAGACTTGGGTTTAGGTGGTAAGGTAGAAGATTCATTCATTCACTACTCATTCACTCACTATTCTGTATTCAACAAGTATTGATTGATGGTGATACAGTGATAAGTGAAAATAGATATAGCACCCCCTCTCATGGGTTTTTTTTCCTCATTAATCAGATAATCACATGTGTAAGATGTATGATTACAACTTGAGATAAGACTCTGAAGGAGCAGAATTCAGATCTGTGAGAGGATTTCACAAGGCTTCTGACCTAGCTGAGGATTCAAGGAAGGACAAATAGTGATTGGACGCTGAATGGGTTAGCCAGGTTAAAGGAGCACTGAAGACCAATGCAACCATGCATGCAAAGGCCCTCAGGATGGAGAGACTGAAGAATGCAGGTATGGCTGAGCAGGGTGGGGGTGGCAAGGAGGAGGCGCATTGGGAGATAAACAGGGGCAAGCACACAAGGCCTTGAGGGTTCTGCTGAAGATTTTGGCATTTATATTAAGAACTAAGAGAAGTCACAGATGGGTTTTAAGGAGGAGGGGTGATGTGATCAGAACCCTGAAAAGAGCTAAGTCTGCGAGGCAGTATCTTTGCAATAGAGCAGAAGAAACAAAGATCAGAAAGGAACTGGAAAGGCTGCGAGAACCGGGAGGCAGGAACGATGCCTTGGTGGGGTTTGTGGCTCACAGGGATGATGAAGGAGCGGGTGAGGAGCCGAGAAGGATGATAGGAAAGGGGCTTATGCACTTTTGGCCTTTCTCTGGAGCTGGGTATGAAGCTTGTGCTGAGGCCTTCCTTGGGAAGGGCCCCATGGCTACCTGACTTACTGGCCAGCATGGTGGGCATCTTGCTACAGCATGGTTCTTTCTCAGACCCAGGTAGCATGATCCTCCCTTCCTGGCAGGAAGATAGGTCCCCCCTGAGGGGCCCCTTTTCTCCTCTGAACATGGTGCTGGAGACTGCCAGGGGACCCAGGCCCTGGGGCATTCTCCTGGCTCAAAGGCCTGACCTTCTACCCTAGCTAAGCCCAGCTTGCCTCTGCATTTCCCCAAGGGAACCATAGGGCAAGTGCTGACTCCAAAATGTATAGGATCATGGGACTCCACTCACCTGGTTACCCAGAGATGGGGCAGGGAAACAGGCTGGGCTGGCATTGGGTTTGTAGCCACAGGGACCCTCTTACTGGCTTATTTACCAAGCATGACTTTATGTGTGTTCTTATCTGTAAAAGGAGGATTTATTTCTCTGTGAATCAAAGGGAAGATAACCTAACTGTGACGTGCAGTATACAATAATAGAGAATATCTGAAGTACTGAGTGGCCATGTTATTTACCTGAAATACCTATATTGTGTGGCAAGGAAGATGGTATGTGTTCAGCCAGCAAGGAGACGCTTAGTAGGTGCTGTATCAGATGCCTCTGAGCTGTCAGAATAACCATGTGCATATGTGAGTGTGTGTAAGTTTTGTAAAATAGTTAGGGTGGGGCTGAGTGTGGTGGCTCACACCTGTAATCCCAGCACTTTGGGAAGCTGAGGTGAGTGGATCACTTGAGGTCAGGAGTTCAAGACCAGCCTGGCCAACATGGCAAAACCCCATCTCTGCTAAAAACACAAAAATTAGCCAGACATGGTGGTACACACTTGTAGTCCCACCTGGAGGCAGAGGCATGAGAATCACTTGAACCTAGGGGGCAGAGGTTGTGGTGAGCTGAGATCACACCATTACACTCTTGCCTGGGCAACAGAGTGAGACTCCATCTCAAAATAAATAAACAATAAATAAAAAACATAGTCTGGGTGTCAGAAGATTTGGGGTCCAAGCTCAGCACTAGCACCAGTTGCTGAGTGACAAGGAGCCATCAGGTCCCCCACTTTATTATATGATTGACTGCAGTGTTTAAATGCCTCAGGTCTTAAAAAAGATCAGCCTTGGGGCCGGGCGCGGTGGCTCATGCCTGTAATCCCAGCACTTTGGGAGGCCGAGGCAGGTGGATCACAAGGTCAGGAGATCGAGACCATCCTGGTCAACATGGTGAAACCCCATCTCTACTAAGAATGCAAAAAATTGGCTGGGCATGGTGGCACATGCCTGTAATCCCGGCTACTCAGGAGGCTGAGGCAGGAGAATTGCCTGAACCCAGGAGGCGGAGGTTGCGGTGAGCTGAGGTCGTGCCATTGCACTCCAGCCTGGGAAACGAGTGAAACTCCGTCTCAAAAAAAAAAAAAAAAAAAAAAAAAAAAAGATCAGCCTCGTTTTATATCCTGCCATACCACTTTCCAGCTATGTGAGTTGTAATAATGCAGAAAGAATAGTAGTTGCTGGGAGCATTAAAGGAGATGCTGCATCTGAGGAGCTTCATACAGTGCCTGTAATAGTGGATGCAAATGGAAACAATGTTACTAAACCCCAACTTCCTCATCTGGAAGGAGTTGAGCAGAGTCTACCCCAGTGGTGACAATGGCAAGGGTTCCCACTGGGAGTGTCAGTGTTTCCTATAGGGATTCTTCTCACCGGTGGGATCCCAGGGTCTCTGACTCACCCCAGCCCTGACTGTGCAGAGGCCCTAATTCTACAACCTGCTGCAGCTCAGGGCATGGAACAGAGATCCTTGCAGTGGTTCAGGCCAGGTGATCTCAATATCTGGAAGCCCTTTGGGGTCTACCTCCTTTTTCCTGTGTACCATACCTTCTTGGCCCCCTCTGCTTTGACAGTGGCAGCCTTCCAGCTAGGCCTGAGCAACCGCATGGCTTATATTTAGCCCCACTTCAGTGATGAGCCACAGGCCAAGACTGAGGGGGAGGCCAAGGGGCAGCCACTTTCAAAACGCCTTCAGTCACAGCCAAAGCCGAGCAAATGTCAGACCAGTGAAGGGGCCCACACCCTCAGCTTGTTTTGAGGGAAAACTGGAAAACAATCTTATTTCCTTCTCTTCTGCTTCCTTGGTTGGTTGAACCACCCTGGATCAGGCCCCAGGCTCTGCTGCCTTAGCTGGGAGCTGCAGGTTGGAAGTACTCTCTCCCATGAGAGTAAGCACTGATGCCTGTGTTGGGTTTGGTTCAGACAGACTGGCCCCTGTCATGTATCTCCATCCCTCTTGATCTCAGCCAGGGCTGCTGCTGTAGGCAGCCTGGGCAGACTGAGGCCTGGGCCAGTGATGCTAACAGTAATTGTTCATGTTTATTGAACACTTACTATGTCCCAGGAATTGTTCTACTTGTATCGGCCCACTTAGTCTTAGTAATAATCTAAGAAGTGGGTACAACAACCACCCTCTTTTTATGGGTGCAGAAAGTGAAACACAGACAGGGTGAGTAACTTTCTCCAAATCATACAGCTGGTAAGTGGCAGAGCTGAAACTAGAATTCAGCTTGCCTCCAAATCCCAACACTTGACCACTGCCAGACACTGCCTCTGCCATACTGGCTTCCTTCTTTGGAGTCATTTACACTATTTCAACTAAACCTCCACACCCTACAAGATAAGTAGTCCCATTATTGTTGCCTTTTCAGTCATGGAAACTGAGGCTCAGCGAGGTTAATCACTTGCCCAGGGTCCAGCCATACTGCTGGGTTCCAGAGCTCATGCTTCTTAGCCTTGCCTACCCTTGGTGCTTCGCCATGGCCAGCTCCCCCCACCATGTGTGCTCCCACCTGCCAGGTTGTCCTGGAGCCTTTGTCCCTGTGTTGGAGGTATTGTCCTCACTGTGGTTTATCTTGCAGGGCTTAATCACAGCAGCCTGCAAGTGGAACAGAAGGAGCAGGGTTCGCTCAGGATTCAAAATTTTTGGCAGCAGGTTCCACAGGCAGATGTTGCTCTCAGAGCCCCAAATATTAGGATTGAAACCACCCATGTACTACTCAGGGAGGGGGATTCTTTGCAGTTATCTTGAGGGGAGGTGTATAAAGGGGGCATCTTAATATCCCATTCCTTATTTTTGCTTCATCTTTGCATATATTGAGCTTATTTTTATTTATTGAATTGTGGCAAAATAGACATAAAATTTGGCATTTTAACCGTTTTTAAGTGTGCAGTTCAGTGGCATTAAGTACGTTCATATTCTTGTGCAACTATCACCTTTATCCATCTCCCCAACTTTTTCTTCTTCCCTAACTGATACCCACTCCCCACTTCTCTAAGTCCTGGGCACCCAGCATTCTACTCTCTGTCTCTATGAACTTAACTAGGTCCTTCATACAGTATAGAGATAACATAAAGTAGAGTCATACAGCTTTTCCCTTTTGTGACTGGCTTATTTCACTTAGCATGTCTTCAAGTTCATTCATGTTGTGGCATATATCAGAATATCCTGTCTTTGAAGGATTAAGACAATTCCACTGTATTGATATAGCACACTTTGTTCATCCAGTCATCTGTTCATGGACACCTGGGTTGCTTCTACCTTTCGGCTATTGTGAATGATTCCATGCTGAGGTTTTGCAAAAGGGTTTGCTAAAAAAAAAAAAAAAAATTTGGCTGCTAAAAGAAGTTTGAAAACCGCTGGCCTGGTCTAGTTGGGGCAGATGGAGACCCAGCCAGTGTGAGTGAGATCCCTGTGCATGAGGAGCAGAGCTGAAACTGCAATCTTTGGATTTGACATCTAGCACTTTTCTCCCTCTTATTGCTGGTGCTGATATTTATCAAAGGAAAGGAGAATGCAACTCTGTCCCGGGAAACTACCCTGGTTTCCCAGAAACCTCTTGGAGCTGCAGAAAGGGCTCAATTCAGCATTTATTGAGTGCCCAAGGGAGCCAGTCCAATAGGGACATAGAGCAGGGTTTATATCCTACCTCTGCCTCTTGTCGCTCATGTGACCTTGGACAAGTTGTTTCACTTCTCAGAGCTTAGAGGCAAAGTGAAGATCCAATGAGATGATGCATGTCTGGTGCTTTTTGGTACAGTGTCTGGTACACAGTGCCCAGGAACCAGGAGCTGCCGCTGCATATGAACCACCGTTGGGAATAATGCGATGAGCAAGAGAGGCTCTGACCCATGGGAGTTCTTTTCAATGCAGTGTATCAGCAGGCATGTGATGTTGATTTGTCCCATTACTGGTGATGTTTGACATTTATCAGTTGATTAAGGTGGTATCTGCCAGGTTTCTCCTTTGCAAAGTTAATTAACAAGTATTTTGTTCTCATTAATTAATTAGTATTTAATAGCATTTTGTGGCACTCATTTGAGACTGCATAAATATTCAATTCCTCATCAAACATTCACCCTCTAGTTTTAGCATTATGTTTTGTCAAATATGTGATTTTATAATTCCTTCATTCACTCTACCTTTATTATTTGGAATTCTACTGCAAGATAGAGTTTTCATCTCTCCTTTATGTGTTTGTTTATTTATTCATTTATGTCAGCATGGACTTACTATTTTCTATTTTATTCAATGGTTTATAATCCATTACAATCATTATTGATTTTGGTGCTTAAGTTCTATTTCTCTAAATTTTAAAATGTATGATAAACTTGGGGAACAGTACGTAGCCTAGTCTTATTATTATAAAAAATAATACTGAGCATTTTGTATATGCCAGAAACTGTTCCAAGTCTCTGTTAACCCTTTATATGTATTAATTCTTCACATATATAATATTGATTGCTATGAAATAAATTATTCAAAAATGTACCAGTTTAAAACAACAAACACTTCTTATATGACATAATTTCCATGGGTCAAGAATCAGGAATGGCTTAGTTGGATGGTTCTGGCTCAGGGTTTCTCATGAGCTTATAATCAAGATCTTGCTAGGGCTGCAGTCAGCTAAAGGCTTACCTGGGACTGGAGGAGCAACCTCCACAATGGCAGACTACATGGTTGTTGGCTGGAGACCTGAGTTCCTTGCCACATGGACCTCTCTGTAGGGCTGCTTGAGCATCCTCACAGCATGGCAGCTGGCTTCCAGATTGAGTGCTTTCTCAGAGAAAGAATAAAGAGGAGTTCACAATGCCTTATGTGACCTAGCCCTGGAAGTCACACACCATCACTTTTTGCCATATTCTAGTCATTTAGAAGCAAGTCATTAAGTACATCACACATTTAGTGGGAGATGAAGGATGCTCTTAGGTCCCTTTTAAAGAGAGAAGGTAAAAGAATTTTATGGTGGTATTGTAAAACCACCAAAACATATATTAACTCTTATTCAGTCTTTAATCTGCACCATAACCCTGTGAGGTAGGTATTACTCTAAGCAATTAAGTGACTTGCCCAAGGCCACAGGTAGCCAGTGGTAACACTGAGATTTGAATCCAGGCAGCCTGGCTCCAGAGCCCACATTCTCAACCACTACCTCATCTGACAGGGCCTTGAATACTTTTTTGGAAAGCATCCTGAGGCAGGCTAGAGGATGATGGGAGAGGTGAGTGTCCATTCCTTCTTAGGTGAGCCTTTCAGGCAGACTCCCTTCCTCCTTCTTCCACCTTCTGCTTTCCATATTCTCATTTTGCAAGTAGGTAGGTAGAGATAAGCTGTTTATGCCATTATTCTTAAAAATGGGTGGGATGGAAGTACTGGCCTCTTCTAGCAAGCACTGGGGAAAGGCTCCATGTGGAGTACTTACAGTTGGGGGAGGCAAAGTGGGACAAGTAGGAGACATGGTTCTTACTCTCAGAGGCATATTATCTATTTGGAAGGGAAGAATAGAAACACAAAATTATTATTATTTTAACTTTTATTTTAGGTTCGGGGTACATGTGTGGGCTTGTTATATGGGTAAACTGTGTGTTATGGGGTAAACACAAAATTGTTTAAGACCCAGGTTATGTATCTTTAATTGTTGAGTGGCTATTTAGCCCAGGATCCTGTCTTTGTTGCCTTTATCTCTCACTGCTGTGGTGGCAAGGGGCCCTGTTGTGCTTACTAATTATTTGTTAAGTGAAAGACAAATAGATATAACGATGGTCTACTGTGGCCCAGGTGGCAGAGATAAGAAGGAGGTGGGTGGTGAGGTCGAGTGAGCTAGTTGGGAGAGAAGGTAAGTGATTTGAAGCATTGGCCCCAGAAGGCAGGTCCCATCAGGATAGTTAGCAGACATGAAAAGCAAAAGGACATATTAAAAATCTACACAGACTGACGAGCACCAAGAAATGGGCCAAGGCCGGGAAGACACCAGCAGTCAGGAGTCTGGCGGGATTGTGGGTGGTGGGGAGGGTTCTTAGGACAGGCAGGTGTTAGCACCTTGAATCTAAGTGGGCAGGTAAAGGGAGTGATGGCCCCAGGACCCCAGTACAGAACATGAGTTGGAGCCTAGAGCTGATGGCCTTTGACTTTTGGTGTCCTTTGACTTTGTTTGGGCCAGAACTGGTATTAGAGGAGCTCTCTCTCAGGCATGGAGCAGAGCAGACACTAGGGTGAGTCAGGGAGACTCTTCCTCCTCCGGCTGCTGATGGGCTCTGTCAGGGAGGCTTGGAGAGTGGGAGTGCATTTCATTTGGGTCAGATCATGGCTGTGTTTCCTGCAGGCAGCTGAGGCCTTCCCATGCCTGAGTTGTGGGTCACGGTGCGGTTAGACTGAGGGCTCACTTGCTGTCAAGGGATTTATAGAGTTGAATCCCACAGGAGAGACCCAGACCTACACTGCAAATGGGATCTGAGGAACGGAACAACAGCGTTAGCCTGTCTGAGATTCTGTGCTTTCCCTACTGTGCAAAGAGAGAGAATTGCTTCTTAAATTTCTTTGCAGAGGTGGTTTCAGTGAGTGATTTGAGCCCTGGCTCTGCCACTTTCTGGCTGTGGGACCTGCAGGTGATATGGGATAATTTCCCATCTGGAACATGGGGATAATGAATACCTATGTCCTGGGGTTTTTTGGAGAATCAGTTCAACCACACAATCGAACGTGTTTATTCAAACAGCAAAGTGCTATGTGAACCTCAGGGAATATGACTGTGAAATAAACTCCACTGATGATAGCTGAAAGGCCTTAATATTGACGATGGACCTATATCTCTAGTCACATTTACAGGGGGCTGCGTGTGAATGAGCAACCCCCCTTCTCTGGCTTTTGAGCAAAACCTCAAGGAGAACCTGGCTAATAAGACCTCCAATCTGACTAGAATCCCTCCCCACCCCCGACTCCTTGTAAAGGACCGACTTCTGTAAAAGTATCCTACAGAATCCTCCCAGGTTTGAGTGGACAGGAGAGCTAGAAATAATCCCTGATTTGGCCACATTGTCTTACCTCAGTAGGAAGCAGCTTTATTCTTGTACATTTTGTTAGAGGCCCGAGCAACCCCTTACAGTATGGCCTTGGGGTTGTCATGAAAGCCCTAGTGGGCTCAGCCAGGGGCAGTACTTCTTGATAATACCTGAAAGGGTTATTGTAGGTGGACTTTCAGAGACTATAAAAAGGATTAGGTGAAAAATAACAACAGCTGTTATTCATTCAGTAGTAAAAGAGAAACCTCTGAGGTGAGTCTCTCCATTAGGAACCTTCCCTTGAGCTGAGAAATAGTCCTCTAGGATTACTTCCTGTGCTACTTCCTGTGTCACATCATTAGTCATCCCCCTGACTGTAGCAGTTTGTATTTTAACTGTGTGGCATCTACATATGTGTGGGTTGTAGATGTATAAGTTGTCCTCAACTGTTTAGCCCGGGTTTCATTTTCCTTTTAGGGTTCTCTTTAATTCCTGGTGTCCCCTAGCAGAGTTTAGAGAAGGCCAGTGGTATAGTGGCCAAAAGTAGGGACTCTGGGGACAGACTCTACCATTACTAACTGTGGGCCTTGGGCAAGCTACCACTTCCTTTCCATAAAATAAGGACAACAGCATCCTGTTTTAAGGTTGCTAATGTGTATAAAGTGCTTAGACAGTACCTATGTATAGTGAACACTCAACAAATACTTATTATGATTATCTTTAAGTAGCACTTATGGTATTTGATATAGTTTGGCTCTGAGTCCCCACCCTGATCTCATGTGGAATGGTAGTTCCCAATGTTGAAGGAGGACCTGGTGGGAGGTGACTGGACCATGGGGGTGGAGTTCCCCCTTGCTGTTCTCATGAGAGTGAGTGAGTTCTCTTGAGATCTGGTTGTCTGAAAGTGTGTAGCACTTTCCCCTTCTTTCTTGTTCTGCCACCATGTGAAGACGTGCTTGCTTCCCCTTCACCCTTCGGCCATGATTGTAAGTTTCTGAAGGCCTCCCCTGTGCCTCTTGTATAACTTGTGGAATTGTGAGTCAGTTACACATTTTCTTTATAAATTACCCAGTCTCAGGTAGTTCTTTATAGCAGTGTGAGAACAGACTAATATAGTATTCATTATGCTCAAGAAAAATATAACCCACTACAAACAGAAACATCTTGAAAGGTTCAGATCAACCCATGGATCCATACTTGGAATATTAAAGAAAACTAGGGTGCTCAGGGGAACAGAGTAGGGTCTTAATAAATACTTTTACGTATTTGGGAATGAAGCATACAGGGGATGCCCCTTTGAGGTCTAGGCTCTGCTCTGCTTGGCTGTCTCCTGTCTGTTGAAATATGTACCCAGGCTTTTCCTCACTGCCTTCACCCTCCCAGAACTAGTCCAAGTTCCTTGGGAAATATGTTACTAGATGTTGCTTCCCTGCCAATGCATTTCTTCCCCATTCCTGGGCCAAAGTCTCAATGCTTTAGTGATAAGACCAAGTGATAGCTTCCCTGGAATACATTAAGGGAAAGCAAATGGGTCTTAAAGTGCCCCTTTTGAGAGGAAGAGTCCCAAACCAGGCTTATTACTTGAAATTTGGGGTGGGACTTGAGTTTCCTGACCTGGGAAAGGCGGTTAGGAAAAAAATTCTCTGGATTGATGTCTAAGGCTATGGCAAAGTAATGTACCAACACATTTTTATAGATAGTACCTGGCCAAGCCACCCAGCAGCTCAGTGGCAAGAACCACAATGTCCCCAATATCACCATGGGACTTAAGCCTGGAGCGGCCACAGGGTCTGCTTCTGCTTTGGGGCCTCTGCTGGGCCAAGAAAAGCCAATTGCAAAATGGCAGAGAGCAAGACAGCGAGAGCGAGAGCAAGAGAGAGAGATTGAGAGAGAATGCAACAAACATGAAACAAACCTCTCGTTCAATAGAGCAAGACCCTGTTTCAAAACAAGCAACACACACACTCAAACCCTCCCGATACCCTCTCAAACTCACTTCTGACCATAAGAATTAAGCAAAAGCTAATAATGACTTCAAAGTCTGTATACTGAGGATCCTTCAAGGGCTGAAGAAAGGAATAGTATCAATAAAAAAGAATAAGAAATAATAAAACAAAAAGCAGGCAGAAACTAAACAAGAACGCAGGATGTAAAAAGAATCAATTAGAAATCAGGAAATATATAGTTTTAGATTTATTACTAAAACCTCAACAGATGACATTGACTTGATACCGGACATAATTGAAGAATTAGTGAATTAGAAACCAGTACTGGGGAATTCATCAGAGACCCAACCCAGTGCAATGAATAAAAAATATGAAAATTAGTTAAGAGACACAGAAAATAGAAAGATTCCAATATATGCCAAGCAGAGTTGCAGAAGAAGAGAATGGAGGGAATGAGGAGAAGCAATATTTGATAAGATATTGAATGCAGATTTTCCCATAATTGAAGAAAGACATGAGTTCTGGGATTGAAAAATCACCATGAGCGACAAAAATAAATCTGCACCCAGACAGACTGTAGTGCAACTTCAAAATGCAAACCTCCAAAGACAGACTCTTAAAAGATCCAGAAAGAAAAGACAAATTACCTACACAGGGACAATGGCTAGCCTGTCAACATTCCCATCAGCAACAGCCAGCTGCCAGAAGGCCATTAGGAAGAATCCTGAAAATGCTGAGGGAGTCTAACTGTCATCCAGAACTCCATGCTCAGCTAAACCAGCATGCGGGAGTGAGGATGCTATAAAGGCACTTTCAAATACACAAAAAGAAGACACTTTAATACACACTGACCCCTGCTTAAAGAAATACTAAAGGCTCAACTTCATCTGGAAGAAAAGTGACTATTGAGGTTAAAAAATAGGATGCAAAAGAAAAACCCACCTCTGAGCCTGGAGATCGATGATCTATGTTGGTTGCAGATTTATATAACCATTGATTATAAAGAGAGCAAAGGAAAAAAGCAAAACTGAACCTTTGGGCAAAAAAAAAAAGTTCTAGAGAAGGCAGTTTCTACTCCCTTTCATTGTTGCAATGTAGGAAGGAAGTTTGGTCTTTCTAGATCACTGTCTTTTTTTTTTTTTTTTTTCAAGATAATCCAGAAAGCCAGAGAGTTATGTGAAATGTCCTGACTTCTGAGAGCTTGCAACAAAAATTTTTATCACCCCTGAGCTCTGCAACACTTGATATGTTAAATAAAACTTCAGCTGGCCGCTCAGCCTGCAGTCTGTGATACTTCATGTCCCTTCGGCTCTCTGGTTTCTGTCACATGAACAGGAAAGTCTTCACAGAGGAGGTGGTGCTTGTGCTGGGAATTGAAGGAAGGATGGAATTTAAGTAACTGGAGAGGAGTTGGGTGGGGCCTTGAGACTTAGAAGTAGGAATGAAGCTGCTGTGTCTTGGGAAACAGTGAACTTGATGGAGGTGGGGCTCAGGAGAGGGCAGTGAGGTGGACTGGGGCTGAGATATTTGAGTCTTGTCCTGTATCCTTGGGCCCTCTCTTCTGTAAGAGCTGGAAGCCATTCTATTTTGAGTTATGTTGTTTAACATCTTACCTCATTCCCCAGGGGCGGTGGTGGTGAAGAAATGAACACTGTTTGGTGATGAGGGTGAGAATGCCAATGAAAAAGGCAAGGAGGAGAAATCCAAGGACATCTGGGAGAGTGTGTGGTGTGATGGGATGCTTCCCAAGGAGCTACGTCATGTGTCAGCCAGGACTTTAATTAGAAACAGTGATCTGGAAAGCGAGGCTGCAGTGGGGTAATTCACGTGGATTTCTTAAGAGCTTGGGTCTCAGCTCTTGAATTTTCCTAAATGGCAGTGCTGCAGTGTTCAAAACTGGCTTGGTTTTGTTGAAATCAAACCGGATAAACAAGTGGAGGGGACGTGGGTGGGAGTGCTGGAGGGAAGCTGGATCGTGAATCAGGAGCCCCAGACTGCTGCCCTGTTCTTGCCATCAGCTCCTTTGGAGGCAGAGCCTATCTTACAGAGGTTTCGAATCCAAAGTCAACCTATGGGGCCACAGTCCCAAAAATTGCACTTAGACTGTAATGCACTTGATTTGGTGCATATAGTACTATATGGTAACATGTGTATGTATATAACGTATACAGTAATATGCCATAGAGTGCATATAGCAAGATGTATTATTTAAAAGATCTTTTTGTTCACTCTCTTTCCCATCATGTGTATATTTTGATTATGTTTGAGTTAGATGTTCCTACACTGCTACTGCATTGTATGACTTTGAGCATTAAATTTAAAAATCATCCCTTTGGGTCTTAACACAATAAAATGACTAACCTGGATAAATACAGGCCCCTATCCAGCTCAAAATCGTTGCCTCTTTCTTTGGCATTGTAGTTGAGTGTCCCTGTTGTAGGAGGCAAGGTAGAATGTGGGTAAGGACACAGGTTCCATGTTGAGCAGATTCGGTTCTCATAATTGTGTGATTCTGAGAAAGTATGTCTTAGTTTCTTTTCTTTATAAATCTGTAAAACAGAGATAGTAGTATTTGCCTTGCAGGGATGCTGTAAGGATTAAATGATCCTTGTAAAATGCTAGACTAATGCCTAGCACATAGTATTTGCTCAGTAAGTGTTACCTATTATTATTACTATTGTTATTATTTGCAAAGCACTGTAGTAACCACTCTTGGGACATACAAAAGGAGTCATTGCAATTAAAATGGATATTGCAAAAACTAATACCATCAGTCCAATCAAGTCTCACTCATGCTGGCTGAGGTAACAAGGGTTTATTGTAAGGACATACAATGTTAGGGCTGTCATGAGTGGGGTTCTGTGCTCCCTGAAAGGTGCTGAGATAGAAATTAGCATGTGGGGCATTTATTGGAGAGTTTGATTGAGACCAACACCTGTGTAAGCCAGGCAAAGGCAGCAGCACTGGGTAGAGGGAGATGGTGAGCTCTGATACAGTCCTAATGAAGGCCTCAGCTGACTCCATGGGGCACTCTGGAACTTGGAGAGGCCCTTCAGATTTGTCCCAAGATACACAAGTTATTCCCTCATGTTGATCAGTCATGGATGTGGGCTGCCTTTGGAAGGCAATCTTTATAGAAGGCTGACAGCCAAGGGCAGTCTTCTAGTGCCTGTCCCAGCAACTGGGGAATAAGGCCTTCCTTCCTGAAGGGGAATCTGGTGGCCCATCACAGAGACCACCACAATGCCCAGGGACTGAGAACAAAGTTCATCCTGTCCTCCTGATGATGGAACTGGAAGCTTGGGAATGGAGGCCACACTGCTCATCTCTCAGGGGCTATGCTGGGTTTGTCTCTGCT